TGTGTGTGTGTGTGTGTGTGTGTGTGTGTGTGTGTGTGTGTGTGTGTCTGCCTGCCTGCTGTTCTGATGTTTGACTGGGAGACGAACTAGAGGATGAGATTTGGAACTGAAGAAACTGTGGTGTCGGTCACAGTGGGATTTACAAATGCAGTTCATACAGAGATTAAATACAACCCAGAGTATTTTTTTCTCCCTTGTCGCTCTTTGTTGTTGTCCCTCCCTGTTCAGGAAGAAATCTGTTGACAGTGTTTCTGTGGTTCTGACTGTTTATGCCTCGTTCTAACAATATAAAGTATAATAGAAAGTTTTGGGTTTTTTAAATGTCTCCTTGTCGACAGGAACCGTGAGCGAAGGCATTATGTCTTCTGCTTGACTCTCCGTCCGTTCCTTTCTCGTGAGCCTGATATCTCAGGTACATCCTGAGGGAATTTCCTCAAAAATGACATACGCTTTTCCTCAACTCAGCGTTTGCCAGGCGTCGCTCCTCTACAGCCCCGCCCTCGTCCTGGGCGGATCGGATCCATCAGAAATATGATGAATACTCTAGACATTTTACTTTCATTCCAGCTAAATATATGTAAAATACTGTGAGTCAACATGATCTGCTTGTATCATTTGTTTTCACAAAATCATCCCGTCATTTTAGTTTTACATGATTAAAAGCAGGGATATATGCTGAACTTAAATGTGACATGGTTCATTGCCACGGCTGGTCCCATGGTCCTAATGAAGGTCTCGGGTCACTTCTGGTGCCAAACTCGAGGCTTTAAAACGTTTGGCCTAAAACTGATCGGAGACGTCATGGTGACTACTTCCACTTATTTTACGCAGTCTATGAGACGGACCTAGACATTTTCTTGAATATGAGGGGTTAACGTGGAGTTACCCTCAGTTAAGCTGCTAAAGCTGAACCTGCTTCATTCCCTTCCCTTCCCTTTTCCTCCGGTTCCCTGCGAGTTGTTCCCACAGTTCCAGCTCTCCTCCGGAACTCCCCTCCGCCTCCTCGGGAGGGGAGAGAGGAGGAGGAGGAGGAGGCAGCAGGGGGAGGGAATCAGGAAGCAGCAGAGCTTTTCTTGGCCCAGAGAGTTGGAGGCCTTACCTCACCACAGCCAGAGATGGTATTTTACTCAAACCACAAACCCTGGCACCGACTGCAGAGATAAGATCAGCGTTCGCCCGCAGATCCCCGAGGAGAGATTACACAACGAATGTGTAATCACTATAAAGAACACCACGAAGTATTAAAACAATGTGAATGAAACGTATTTCATTATGAATCTACATGGTGGTGAGAGAAGGGGGGGAGGGTGATGTGGTCAAAAATATTGGTATTGGTACATATACTGCTGGATTTAGATTTATTATGGCAGGCATTGATAGGTAAGTACACAGAATATTTATTTTATAGTTATCAGTACAACTGTCAGGGGCATATTTACAGTTCTTTAATTATCAGAAGTGGGCGTTTGTCTGCAATATATCTATTCGCAACCTTTTCCATTTTTTCATGCAGCGCCTCTCCTTTGTTTATGATCATTATTTATTGCTTTGGATTAGCGGCTGCAACTCAAGGTTATTTTGTTTATAGATCAACCGTCTTATGAATCATCAGAAAACAGAAACATGCTTATCACAACATTGCACAGCACAATCATCAAATATCCCATTATCACCGCAAAGCCTAAAGAATATTCATCGTAACACCAAGAAAAGCTGATTATTCTCACAACTGAGAAGCTGCAACCATCACTCTTTGGACATTTTTGATTGATAAAGGATTAAAGAATACATCGATGAACAAAAGAGATGATTACTTTTCGTTCAACCAACTAAAAAAAAAGAAGATTTGTCTGATCTTTGCAGCTTTGATTAGAACACTTCCACTTTTCTACAAAAAGCTTGAGATTAACATGGTGTGGACACACTTCACAAGTCTGTTCCTTGTTTGAGCCAGCTGGTGTTTTTTTGGGGGGGGGGGTGTTTCCAACCCCAGTCAAGTAAAAACTGGCCAAATGTGTCGATCAAACCATAAAAATAGTGCGGGGTGCCATCATTGAGGATTATTTAATTATCTCTGTAGTTTTCGTGTGGTGCGTTTAGTGTCTGTAGGAACGTGGCCCTCAAAGAGAGGCAGAGATGAGGCTGTGAAAGAGAGGATCGGGTGGGCTGGAAGTGTCAAGGTTTTTCTTTTTTCACACTGGAGTAATTACAGCCACAGCTTCCAGTGAGAGTCCTTGGACATACATCACAGACGGTGTGTCTTTTAAGTTTCTATCTGTCACCGAGTCATCTGATCTCATGGCCATTCGTTAAGGTTCAGAATGCAGACGAGGGCTTTTCCTCCCCAAAGGCAGGGCAGTGTGTGTGTGTGTGTGTGTGTGTGTGTGTGTGTGTGTGTGTGTGTGTGTGTGTGTGTGTGTGTGTGCTTTCTTTCAAAGATGCTTTTACCGTCTGATCAACTTTGAATTGTTAGCTGCGTTACTTTACTTCCTGTCTCTCTGTTTCTGTCTCCAGACTGATCCGTGGCTGAAGAGGATGACGCTCTCCTAGAATCCCCCCGCTCACAACTCCCCCCTTCATCCTGGTCCACACCTCCGCCCTCCACCATGAACCACACCCCCAGCCCCCACCTGTCCGACGGCGGTAAGTCGTCCGGGGGCGGCCTGCTGTGCAGCCTGGGTCTGGGGTCCGACAGGGGGATCCGCTCCCCGGACAGCCTGATGCACACCCCGAGCCCCACCGGAGGAACCCCCAGCTCCAGCCCCCCGCTGCTGCTGTCGCCGGGGCTGGGAGGCTTCGGCCTGGGGTCCCTGGGGGCCATGGGCGACGGAGCCGGGGCCGACTGGGAAAGCAGGGAAGAGCTGAGGCTCCGGGAGCTGGAGGAGGCTCGGGCCCGAGCGGCCCAGATGGAGAAGACCATGAGGTGGTGGTCGGACTGCACCGCCAACTGGAGAGAGAAGTGGAGCAAGGTGGGCTTGTGGGTAATGAAGTCAGGAGGGGCAGTATACTGAAAAGCTGTGAAATACTGTAGCAATACAATACATTTTATATTAATCAATATTGTATGTAATAAGTTAAAATTGTCAGAATATATTTGACTTTAGATGTACTCACTCAGCTGACGGGCTCCACAGTGGTGAACCTACTGCTCCACATTTTACATCAGCAAGTAACTTAATGAAATGTTAATAAAACTCAACATTAAAATGCAACACAATGTGCCTGATATTAATCATACGCAGAAGTACTCGTTTAATGAAGATTAACAATAAATTAAACAAAAAAAGAATTAAAAAAAACTGAATTAAAACTAATTTTTTCTTTAGTTACTCACTAAATATTGAATGAGTCTGAGGACCAAAGTAATCCTTACTCAAGACCCACTAAATAGCTTTTTCGGCAGCTTTTAACCCATCTCACGACTCCAACTGCTAATGAAGACCGTGAGGATGTTGAAAGCTCTGGAAAAAGCTAGTAAGTGGACCTTGAGTGAGGATTATTTTGTCAATTGTTTATGGCAGTTATTACAAGGGACTTACTATATGACCTATGTCGACTCAGCTGTGCCATGTTTAGCTGCCTCCCACAAATTATGTTCATATACATTTAATTTAATTTAATTAGCATTAAGACATCTGTTTTTTAAAACTTGGATTTTTAAAAAAAAAAATGCAACATAAGGAAAGGTTTTCCTACAATAAACACTCACGATGAACGTTTTCATGGTAAGACGAATCAAAGCACTCGGTTAAGATTTCAAGAAAAATGGTGGTCAAAGTTAAATACCAGAACAATTAACACTGAAATTACTGAATTGTTTTATTACTAATGAAACGGTATATTCATGACTTGTTTTTAAAGATTAAAGTCTTCAGAGAAACCAACAGGCCCAGGGCTAATATGTTTATCTTTTATTGTCTATATGTTTTTTTTCCCAGGTGCGTGCGGAGCGTAACCGTGCGCGTGACGAGGTCCGCCAGCTGAGGCAGCGGCTGGACACCCTCACCAAGGAGCTGACCAGCGTCCGGCGGGAGCGGCAGGAACTGGCCTCTGAGAACGAGACCCTACGGCAGGAGACGCTGCGCCTCCATGGCGACCACACTCTCGACGCTCCTCCTCCTCCTCCTCCGTCCGCCCCCTCTCCATCGTCCTCCCCCGCGCACCCTCGCGGCGCTTCCTCCTCTCCATCCATACCCCCCTCCTCCCCTGCCTCCTCCTCCTCCTCCTCCTCCTCTCAGGTCCACGCCGACGGCAAGCTGGACAGGGTTGGGGAGGGACCGCCAGGGTCACCGGAGCCAGAACCAGTGCGGGACGTGGACTTGGACGGACAAAAGTTGCATCAACAGAAGGTGAGTCAACAGTGGACATTTGGATTAGAATGCATTTTATTTTTTCCAAACTGGTATTGAGATTAAATGTTTTTTTGTCTTCACTTTGGTCCAGACTGAAATATCTCAACCACCTTTAGATCGATCGCCACGAAATATGAATCCACCTTTGGAGAGCTCCTGATCTCTCTGCTAGCTCCACCATGAGGTTGACATTTGTGGTTTTAAACTGAGATCACATGTAGTCATCCTTTTATTGTGTCAAACAAGGTGCTTTGTATAGTTTTGTAATATTAAAAGAAAGAAAGAAAGGTTCTCAAGGGACATATCAGAATTGCTCCTTTTTTTCCTCAGCTGACTGGAGGGGTGTGTCCGTGTTTGATTGACAGCAGCTGGTGCACGAGGGACCTTGGCTCAATCCCAATCTCCACCCTCACGGACTCACAGACTGTGAGGCGCGCTCCCGCAAAGTCCGTGAGGGTTTAGGGCTGTCCCACTGTCAAATCGTCGAGTGTTTGAGGGCTCTCTTGTCGACATTTTGAGCTCTTTATGAATCTTCTCCGTAAGTCCGCATTTCTGCAGACATGTACCCCATCGAGCCCTTCGGGGCTGTTTTTTGGAATCGCCCGCTTCGTCTTGTTTTGAGTCAAAAGGCCGCAGCCTGACCAAAGCACTAGTGGCATTTTGTCATTATCTATATTCAACGTTTTTTCTTCACAACCTATGAAACCTGCTGATGTTTATTAATCAATAAGGATGTTCAAAAGCATAATTAATTCACCCTAATTCAATTCAAGTCTGACGATGTCATCATCTTTTGGTCTGGGACCAGGTGAAGGGCATTTCCTCTTTTGTCCAAAAATGATGAATCAATGACGCAGGTTCAAGTTTTCATCCTTTTTTCATTTATCGTGCGATTGTTTATTATGCTAATGTGAATTAGCATTTGGCCTCGTGTTCTGTGCTGCTAAATTGCTTGACGTCAGCGCGCTCATGTCCTCCTCTGCTGCTGTACGGACAAAGTGACCCGAGCCTCAGTGAATGTAGGCCAGACTGGCTGCTGTATCTCCAGCCCTGTTAGATCGCTCACCAAAAGTGTGTGTGTGTGTGTGTGTGTGTGTGTGTGTGTGTGTGTGTGTGTGTGGGTACCTTTAAATAGGACACCCCCTCCCCAACACACACATGTTCTCATCATGCCGTCTTATCCCCGAGGGCTCTGTGTTGCTGCAGTACTTTTTCTCTGTCAGCCTGTTTTTTTTTTTTGCACCCCATCCTGAACATAAAGCATATATGGTTGTGTACAGACCTACTGCTTCGCTCGGCCTCATTCATACCGACAGACGAGACGCTCGAACGCCACTCTGAAATGCTCTGCGGAGGGCCATTTGATACTGAAACAGGAAGTGAAAAGGGAACTTCTGGAAAGTCGAGGCCTACAATATGACAGCACGTTCACTCTATTTGTCTAGACGGCACATTTAAAAACAATATATACCCAATGTAACATTATTGTTTATGTCATATTTTGTTATTTTGGTGGTCTTTAGAGCACAGAATTCCCAGGAACCATTGCGTATAAAAACGTCAGCAGCTTCATACACAAGACGCTTCTCTCCCGATTCCTCCCAGAATTCACCAGGAGCTCCCCGTTGTTCATCAAGCAGCTTCATACAGCTCAGTTGTTTCGCTCAAGTTGAAACATTATCAACTCGCAACTTGACATGTGACGGCCCGGGCAAATCTCCATCTTACTCACGCGTCTTTCCGTAAATGAAAGACGCGACTGCAAACTTCGCTTCGCAGTCTGTCGGAAAACACAGTTACTCTAGGATCTTTTTTTATTTCGCTAAGGTACTTTTTATGACCCGTCACATGGAGCTTTCTCCCTTCTTTGGTGTTATGTCTTCTTGCCTTCGCTCCCTATGACTGATAGAATAACAATATCTGGACACTGGCGTCATTGATAGCGGCAGCAGAGTTCCTGGAAAATTAAAAAAATTTAACTAAAATATGTCCGAAAAGTGACATGTAATAGTGGTCAGCATATCCCCCAGATTATCTATTTGTCCTGTAATGTCCTCTCAGCTGGTGTGGACCTGTCCCTCTGGTCAGGTGTGGAATCATGTGGGATGACTTTTTTATTTTTGATAATTGCTTCTAAGCGTCACCGCCGCCGGCAAGGCCCTAATTTCCACCGAGGACAAAACAGGACGTGTCCCCCTCACTTTCCTTTTTTGTCCCTCAAAATCCCACTTTTGTCCGAACCACTTTCATAGTCTCGGCGTTGCCTTATATCGGACAGAATGGAGCGGACGGATTCAAAGGTCTCGACCCACAGCTAAATAAATCCACCTCCCGTTCACTTCCATTCCACAGAGAGGCGGAGTCCCTCCCTCATGACATCACTTGCGACACGTTTTTGGGGTGTGTAGTCTTTCTAATGACGTGTTTTCTTACGTCTTATACCTCAACAGATCTACGAGAAACTGCAACATTCTTCACACGCGAAATAATATTTTATATTGATAAAACGTCAATGTGTAAATAAATACACAATTCAAACTGGATCATAAAAATTATTTGTGTCATTTATGCTTACAAGGTTAACCTCTCCCTATCATTGCATATGCATTTTAGGGAGGTTCATGCAAATGATAGGAGGAGACACGCTAACAGAGGTCAAATTACATTATGTATTCTATCTTTACCACCGAGGCCAAAGTAAGCATTTTCTCCTCTGAGCTTATCGGTCTTGCGCTGCTGAACTGAGCAGCTCTCCTTCACTGGCAGCATGTCTCCTGGAGTACCAGCACCGGCTGCGTAATGATCTGCCGTCTCAGCCAATCAGGTGCTGAATACACACAGAGTGTAACCGCAAACTCAATGAAAACCACAGCGCACGTTTTGGCAAAAACCATCTTATTCTTTCGGTCACTACTCCAAAGCCGCATGCCTATAAGGGAGGGTTGGATCATAGATGGACTGCTGTCTGACTATATTATTATGAATAACATGATATCAATATTTTATTTCTTAAATATCACAATCACTGTCGATACCAGCAGATGCCAACAACCCTAATCCCATCTGACAGCACTGCTTTGACCTCTTGTGTTTTTTCCAGTTGCTCTGTATCTCCCAGTGTGTCTACAGCAGTGGTGGGCCCCTCTGTTTCTTTGCAATCGTATGCTGTCTCACCACACACACACACACACACACACACACACACACACATACACATACGTGAGCATGGGAGCTGTAACCTCATAAAGGAGCCTGTGCATCAGTGAATAGAAATCACTGTCACTGCCTGTCAGACTTGACCTTCAGCTAGCTCAGGATGGGGGTTTCCATGGTAATGCACACACACGCGCGCGCACACACACACACACACACACACACTGGGACACAAAAATACACACCGAGGCTGCAGCCTTCCGAGTAAGCCATGATAATGTGGCTAACTGGTAGCCACACACAGCAGAGCCTCATTTCCTGTCTCCGTCCATTGTTCTGGTTCTCACACACACTGAGTGCTTCCACATGTGGCTCAGGATGGGGGTCTGGCTCACCGGGTCCCTCTGCTGGGGAGGACCTGTAATGACAGCAGCAGCATCGCAGCTCTGTCTTCCTTTTGGCATGCCTGCAATGTAAAGCTATTGAAGAAGAATGTTATGTTTGTAGATTGACCTCAAGAACCATTTCAAACATTTCTAAGCGTTTGTATCATAATCCCAAAGCATGCGGAATAGTATTAAACCACAGATTTGAAAATAACGTAGGTCTCACGGAAGTTCCTCTCCAGAGTTGGAGCAACATTTCTTGATTTATATCACAAAAGTGAAGCCAATGCGGATAGTGCCTTCAACCTGCATTCTTTCTAATGGCCATCAGGGGGCGACTCCTCTGGTTGCAAAAAGAAATCAGATTGTATGGAAGTCTATGAGAAAATGACTCTACTTCTCTCTTGTTTTATTACCTCAGTAAACATTGTAAATATGAGTTTATGGTCTCAATCGCTAGTTTCAAGTCTTCTTCAATACAGAATGATGTTCATTTAGTAAGTTATGGTCCCTTTGAAAGTCACAGACCATAAAGCAGGGTATGCTTTAGGGCGGGGCTACCGTGTGATTAACAGGTCGCTACCACGGGAGTTGTCCGTGTTTTTGTCTTAGAACTTTATCCCTATCACAGTGTGTTTTCTTTCAGGAAAGTTAATTGCAACATTTTGGTTGCCTAAAAATGTCTTATTCAGCATTCGGTTGTACTTAGCTCAACCCTCTCGTGTCAGTTCTGCGTAAAATCCAAGATGGCGAACTCGAGGCTTCAAAACCACAGTCCACAAACCAATGGGTGCCATCACAGGTGACTACGTGCACTTCTTATATATAGTCTTTAAAGTTGATGTTTCAAAATATAACTTTTAAATCACAAGGTAACGCGGGCCTGTTATTGCTAATAATTTACAGGAACATGTGCTTATCACCAAATTAGCGGAGCTTTGTTTGCAACTATTCTTCAATAAAACAAGTCTACTAATACTGCAGGGAAGAAGAGTAAGCAGCACAAAAAATGTCAGATGATTTTATAGGACATTAAATGTGTTTATCCACCGTTTTACAGTGGCTTCTTATAACTAATCCCCATCCGATCACAAGTGTCTTACTGAAAAGACATTGTAACCACGTCCTTTGATATTTCTGAGGAACTGTTAAAGGCATCACAATAGTTATTTTTGAGAAAACCATGCAGCCTCTGGGAGACCCAGACCTCGCATGTAACATCTGGAACATGCTGTGAAGGATGAAGGGTGGGGAAACATTTGGATTTTTACTGTTGCAGCGCCAAAGCTGACAGATTTACTACGTGTAGAGGAGGACAAGCTCTACGTTTCCAATTTAATGTCTGTGAAGGCCATTAAATAGAACGAGATGTGAAAATGTTGCGGTCGGAAGAACCCGGCCAAGAGTTTTTAGGGTTCTCGTTGGCAGAAACTTTAGAGATGATCTGCTGGATGAAACCGTTTGCTTTGCAGCCTTGTAGGGAGGAACGGAGGGCGGAGTGGGAAACAGCGAGGACAGAAGAGACAAATATTGTTTTGCGAAAGAGGCCCATATTTCTGACAACCCCTTCAAAATCAGGCCCGTCCATATGAGTCCGTACAAGAGGTACGGGTAGTTTGGAATCAGACTGAACTTAACCTGAAACCCAAAGGAAGCTTTTTATCCCGGCTGATGATTTATCAGGAGTTATGGAATGTGACGAGGTTAGCAGATTATGGGGTTGGAAACTGCTTACAACCCTTTGACGAGACTTTAGTACAGACGATTTAAATAAAGACGCGGTCACACCAGTTTTTTTTTTTTGTGCAAAATCATTTTTCCGATGGAATCACTTGCAGGTGCATTCATTTCAACACCGCGCTAAATATTTAGTCAACTCTCCTGTCGGGGCGGACGGATATGATCTGTGGCCACAGTGGCCCAATCTGCAGCTTTATTAGAGCACCTTCATGGATCAAAATGATTGCTGGGGACAATTCAGTAGTTGCTGTATATGTTGGGATGTGTCTCATACCTAGTGGACTATTTTGTGGAATATTGCACATATTCTATTTATACTTTCACACTGAACTTTTGCAAATCCCCTGGAGAATATTTTGGATATTTTTGCACAAAACTACATCTTCCAAAACTGTTCTTTCATATTTTATTGTCATTTTTTCTATTGTTTCTTGACTTATGAAGTATTTTTTTCTTACTGTGTTTATTGTTATGCACTATTTCCCAGCGGTATGCGTTTGGATGAAAGGATAACTCTTTTACGTTCATAAAACTGCTCATCTCAAACTAGACTGCTTGTGTTTCTTGCCCCGTTGGATTTAGTTGGAGTGACCTCACCTTGATGTCTGAGTTTCAGTGATACCCCGGTACAAAGCATGTCCCTCATATCATTTTCTCTGTCAGGACTTTGAGGTGCTGGAGTCGGTCCTGCGTTCCAGGGCCCCGGACGGTGACACTCAGGAGGCGTGGGAAAGCCGCGGCGGTGTCAACCCGTCCACCTCGCGCTCATCATCCGGTCTGAGCCGGCAGGAGCGCAGCAGGCAGCTGTGGGAGGACATCGGCACGGTGGAGGAAGACTCCAGCAAACTCAACGCCCTGCAGCTCCGCCTGGACGAGTCCCAGAAAGTCCTGCTGAAAGAGAGAGAGTAAGAGAGACAGAAAACCCCAAACTGTGGCATAGATGTGAAGTGTGCAGTCATGTTTAGTTACTAGTTATTTGGCAGATTAATACATAACCTACAAAAAAATCATCCCACTTCTTAAATGCAATACATTCTTAAACTACCTGACAATATGTTCCACCAGAAGCTCCACTTTTTTTCTCAAGGCCATTGAAGAGTCAAGACTGGATGTTGCGTTACAAACTGGATGCATGGTGGAAACGTGGATGTTTACAGGTTGGGAAAGAGTCCAACGAAAAGAGGCTATTAGTTGCATTATGGGAAGAGCAGGGTCTAGTGTTTTTGTAGGTTGAGCCGAGGACTAAACGTCAGGATCACAGACTACCGTATATAAGAAGTCATCGTGACGTCACCCATTGGTTCGTGGACCGCAGTTTTCAAACTTCTGTGATCTGGCTGTCGTCATCTTGGCTTTTTTTGTGCAACCGATGAACGGAAGTGACCATATTTGAGATTGAGACCATAAACTCATGTTTACAATGTTTACTGAGGAAATAAATCAAGCGAGAAGTAGAGTCATTTTCTCATAGATTTCTATACAATCAGACTTCTTTTTGCAACCAGAGTCGCCGCCAGAGTGACCATTCCTCTGCTTTTTTTTCTTTTGGGAGTCCAAACATTTATGTAAGTATAATGCTAAATAGCTAAAGTACCTCATTAAATACAAATGCAAGACTTAAAAGGAACTGGACGCTACTTCCACCACAAAAAAAGGTATTGGTGGTTCTGCTCTCAGTTGCTCAGTAGAGGTTCCTCATACTGTATGGGTTTGCATCTATAGTGTTTTCTCCTTTATTACCTCGTTAAGAATGTTACCAACCTGTAAGGACCAGTGTAACTACACCACTGCTTATTCTACACTCAGTCAAAGTAATGGCCTTCTCTGCTGACAGGAAGTGCACAATATACTTTTTTTATTTCCTGTGTGAGACATTTTCAGCCATGTGAATGCCGGCAAAGCACTAAAATGTGAGTGTCATGTGTAAAATGTGGGACCTGACAGGTATGTTAGATGGTGCAACATGCAGTAAAATGTGAAAAATCCCATTTTTATTTCTTTTTAAACACGTTTGACTCAAATAATAACCCGCTCTGGCTCTAGAGCAGCATGATTGAGTGTGTCGTGTCTTTGTGTCGTTTCCCCCCCCCCCCCCCAGAGACAAGCTGGCGCTGAGCAAGAGCATCGAGAAGCTGGAGGCCGAGCTCACTCAGTGGAAAGTGAAATACGAGGAGCTCAGCAAGACCAAACAGGAGACCCTCAAACAGGTGAGACATCCGCGACCACCACTCCGCCAGTCAGACAGAACGCGTCTGCGTTGATCTACTGCTTTACTGAACGCAGACAGACGTCGGGTCACTGTTGTAGCAGGATGCAGCCGTCCTCTACTTTCTGTTGATTCCACAAACAAATGTAATGACTGCACGATTGAGATAAAGGTTAGACTACCTTCAATTTTCAAACGGTAGCTGCCGGCGCCTTCATTTACCGTCTGAGCCTCTGAAGGAAGTGGAGCTGGCATGACACCCGGGTGGACACGCCCCTTTTCCCAACCTGATGCTATGTGACACCCTCCGAAGTAAATTTTAACTAGATAAAATCAACGGGGATTTGGACAATTATGGTTTGAGAGTTTGAGAGTAACAGATATAAGTAGTCACCGCTGAAACGTTTTCACTGTTTACTAACCCTGCTTCTGTGACGTCAAATGTGACACACCAGGAAAGAAATAACAGGTGACACACCTCTAATGCATGGTCCACTGTCAAACGGAAAGGAGTCTATCGCCTATCCGTAGCAGGTTTTACCGTGTTTAAAATACCTGCATATACGCTCTAATTCTGGTGGAAAAAGGGGTAAAAGAGTGACTGCATCCTCCCCCTGGATGGAGGCTCACTCCTTCAGCTCCTTCGTCCTGCTTATGCTCAGCTGCAGATGGTTCGATTCCACCCAACAAAGGCACGACAGCCCAACAATGACATGTTGAATGCATTCAGCTCAAAGCACCACTGTGCCTCCGAGCTGAGCTGCTAGAGAGCACTGACCAGATACCATTTATTCTTGACATTTGTTTGCGATTTGAGGCCACTGAAACCTTTAATGTTGGAGAGAGACGGCTTTCATCCGTCAGCAGCCGGGACAGGGTCTTTGATTCAGGTTTGGTCGGACTTTATTGGTCTCAGGAATTTTGGAACGCGTTTCTTAAACAAATCTGAAGCAAAAAACTGAAGCTGTAGCTGGCAGCTCATTTAACACAGAGGCCTCTGCATGTCCATTCTTAGTACACTTCTCTGGTTGCCAAGAATCAGCTCAGAAGAAAAGTGTTCCAGATGTCCACGGTTCTCTGTGGATCAGTGCAAGAACCGCACCTTTAAGATCCGTTCTTGAGTCACTTGTATGAGTGATTTAGGAGAACTTGCCACATTCACCAATTTTTTCGTATTTTCTTGGTACAAAATAACAATTTATGAGTTGTCCCAAACCTGTCGGAGGAGTCGATCAGTCTGCTGTTATCCAAGCTGAAGTTTTTCACTCACGGATTGTATATTTCTTTACTTTGAAGTAGTTTTGAGTTTGTCTTTAAATTACACATTATCCTATTGGACTCTGCTATTCAAATTCAAATACAATTCAGATTTTTATTTCATATAGCCTAACAATATGACCATTCATCATTTGTTTGAATTGGCTTTTGATGCCATTTTATAACGCCACAATATCAATATGAAATCTTAAATTATTTGACCTTCTCCATTGCGATCATTTCAGGTTCTTCTTTATTCTAGTGACAGTTGGACACAAGATGGCGCCAGCGTCTTGTTGACGACAGATATCATTTAGTATTCTAAGGGGAGAGAAAAGGAGGGCGTGGGGGCCGAAACATATAAGAGATGTGTAGATGAGGTGACGGTGGGTGTTTTTGAAGATAAGCGGGGTTAGAAGAGATGGAGATGAAAGCGGGATAGGGTGAAGTGACGGAAGGTGGAGACGGGGCAGATGAGACACGGGGCCGGGATAAGATAAGGACAAGGAGGGATGAAAAGGGACGGTAGAGGAGGCCGGGTCACCCTTATCTACGCGCTTGTTGTCCTAGATACTTCAAGATCACAGGGGATGTTTGGCTCCACAAACGGCTTCCTTTTTTAAGACGGGAACAGGAGCGTCTCTCCTGACAAATGTGCAGATAACGCTAAATGTCAAGCTATTGCAAAGTTTGAAGGAAAGCTGTTGTTGAGATGTTGAATGATTGAATGATATTTTGTCTTTTTGGTACTAAGCAAGTATGAAAAATGAAAGGAAATAAAAGCAACGGTTCGGTCATAGGACCTTGGTTCTGTCTCCGCTCTCATCAGCCTTGTTTCAAGCTTGGATTAATGTGAGTAAATAAAGAGCTGGTTTACCCGTCACTGTTGTCAGTTCACCCGATAGGTCGTGAATCAAACATACTTACGGTCTGTGCATTGAATAAGCAAAGATTAATAAAGTGGATCTTAAGCAGCTTTACTCCAGTACTCAGCTGTCATTGTAGAGTCGCTGCTCTGAAAACAGTGAAAGTCAAAGGAAGGAGAATTTCCAGCTGATTTAATACTGCTAGATTTTAATGGTCCCCCAGCGTTCTCCCAAACACATTAAAGGGTAACTTTGGTATTTTTCAACCTGGACCGTATTTCCCATGTTGTTGTGTCTAAGTGAGTAATGGGGACATTTTTTTTTTAAACGGGTCCAGTATTGAAGGAGAACTAAACAGGCTGCAATGTGAACGCTCGGGGCTACTCGTCACCGTTAATGTACGTCCACTAAAAGTGCTCGTTTTTGTCACTGACAGGCAATACACAGCCTGTGTATTGTAAGTGTGTGACGACATTATGGAAAGTACCCTACAGAGAAATCAAAGCTTTTTCTTTACCTATTGCTTGGTCAGTTTATTGCTGTGCGTCTCGCTCAGAGAAGTCTCGTTCTGAAATCTTGCGTCACGTCCACATTGTCGAAATCGGGTCAATATATTGCCACGACACCGAAAACCTTTTAGATAACACTCAGCTACGCTTTCTGTACTCCGACCCATCAAACTTTGACAACACCGGCATGCCTGTCTCCAACTCCGGCAACAAGTCACATGACACGATAACAAACAGACCGGATGAAGCGAAGGGTAAAGAAAAAGGTTTTTATTTCTCTGTAGGATTTTTTTCCATAATGTTGTCAGACACTTATAGTAACAGTCTGAACAGTCAACAAGCACATTTAGTGAACGCTCACTGACGGTGAGGAGTTGCCCCCAGCGATTACATTGCAACCTGCCATCTGCAGTGTTCTCCTTCAATACTGGACCGATTTTAAAAAGTGGCTGTCACCATTAGTCACTTGGGGGAAGGTGTTGAATAAATACCGAAGTTACCCTTTAACAATAAAGGGCAAGATAAAAAAACCCAACCCCATGACGCCCTGTCTTACCCCCCCTTCTCTCTTCCTTACACCATCTAGCTGAACCTGCTGAAGGACATGCACCAGGACGAACTGGGCCGCATATCTGAAGACTTGGAGGACGAACTGGGAGCCCGGACCAGTATGGACAAGAAACTGGCTGAGCTACGAGCTGAGGTGAGAACACCGGAGAGCAGAGAAAGTGGCGTGTGAGGGAGGAGGAGTGAACTGCAGCACGGAGGGAAAGCTTAAACCATCTCAAGGCGCACACCGTGGCAGCAACGCCAGCGTAGTGGCGGATCTTCTTTACGGCAGCCTTGTGGAATCCCTGTGTAAACAGTAGCTGGTGTCTCTCCGTCAGATGGAGAGGCTGCAGGTGGAGAACGCCGCAGAGTGGGGGCGCAGGGAGCGCTTGGAGACGGAGAAACTGGCCCTGGAGAGGGACAACAAGAAGCTGAGAGCTCAGGCCGAAGACCTGGAGGAGCAGCTGGCCAAGAAGCGCCGGCAGGCCGCCTCGGCGCTTGACACCGACCTCAAGGCCATCCAGACCGAGCTGTTTGAGAAGAACAAGGTGGGCAGGACAATCCTTCTTTTTATCGATGTCCCAGTGTTCGGTAGGTCTTGGAACGGTTGAGGTGTTGAAGGAAAATTCCACAACATTACAGTTGTAATAAACTACACCATTACATACGCACTGATGATATCTCTTTACATGCAAGGAGATTGTGCCCTGTTGCTTGATTGAAACACGTGTGTGTGCGTGTGTGTGCGTGTGCCTGTGCGTGCGTGCTTGCTTGAGAAAGAGAAATTGATTGTGTTTTGTGTCTAGTGCTGAAACCATGGTATTGATCCGGACAGAGAAGGAGAAACAGGGCAAGCGATTAAGACACTGGACACACACACAAACACACTCTCACACACGCACGCGCACACAGGTTGATTGATAGTAGAATCATCTTCAGCCAGGGCTTTGGGCATCACTACCACCGCACAGATTGATGTTCACTGTCAAGCTGCAACGCACTCTCGTGCACGCACAAACACAGTAATAGGGGGTGAGAGTGCAGAAATTGATATTTTGTGTGGACAGTGTTTGACCAATTGTATAGGCTGGTGATAGATGTATGTGAGGGTGTGTGTGTGTGAGCTCATCAACTCCTGACTGATATATGACTTTGGGGTCCCCTTTGTGTCGCTAAGGCGAAAGCACACAACACACACACACCCGATATCGCGTGGCATGAAAATATTTTCAGGGGATATCGGTGTTAATTTTGTAATTTATTTTAGATTTAGTCTACAATAAATGCTTTTTTAGTTCCTTCTCATAGGATTTGATCTCATCATTATCTGATGAGACACAGATGGAATGATTAAGAGTGTGTTGCTGAGACAGAGTACAGGTCTGGAACAAAGTGCATTTCTCCTGATTTCTGTTTGAAAAAAAGCCATTTCAGTGTTCAATGTTGGGAAGATTTGTGGCTTGTGAAAAATGGGAGCAATATTTCCATTGGTCGACTATGGAGCAAGAGAATCGGATATAATCTGTGTTGTCACTTTTCCCATTGGAGTTAATAGACTCCAAAAGAATATAATATAATAGAATAGAATAGAATAGGCAGTGGTTTTTGTTTGTTTGTGTAACGTCACATCTATAAAAATGCAGAGCGAAATTGTCCATAGGTCAGGGGTTTTGGGTGTAATTTAGCCTGTTTACACATTTGGTATCACGTTTCACAGAATCATATACGAGATGCTGACTGTTAGTCATTCAAAGGCAAGGCAAGTTTATTGATGTGGCATCTTTTAATACACATCAGGCACTAGAACAACATTTGAAATGTATGGCCAGCAGGTGGGGTCGTTTACCCAACATGCACCTCTCTGGCAGGACGAAGACGGTCAGTCTTCAATCTTCTGAGGTATGGAGACGTTTCTGCTGCTTGAAAAGCAGATGTACCTCATGCTAAACGATAACCCACGGTGGCTGTGGAGTTGTTTTGTCCAGCGATGAGCGCTGCCTTGACCTGAGGTCAACTTGTCGTGTTTTCCGGGAGATTGCAGCAGCTCTAGTCTTCTTAAATGACGCTTTCAGCAGCGGGCTGGGTGGCACGGCCGAGCACCGGCAGATGTATGTGTAAGTGTTGGTCAACGTAATGGCCTCCATTACCAGGGTTATTTATGAAGCTCTCAGGTTTATTTAATGCTGCAGTTAGCAACAGACACACACACACACACACACACACACACTGACACACTCAATTATAACCTTTCAAATGGGGAGAGAGAGAGAGAGAGAGAGAGAGAGAGAGAGAGAGAGAGAGAGAGAGAGAGAGAGAGAGAGTAATTATTCCAACCATTAAGTTTGAGCAGAAACGCAGCGGGGTGAATTAAGTCACATCAAGATGTGTTCACACCAAATGCGCGCGAAATAATTTTGAAGTTTTGTGTGAACACACCTTCAGAGGTTGGAGGATGAGTACAGCGAAGAAGATGAGGATCAAAGAGGAGAGAATGGGAGATGAAGAGAGGAATAGAGAAAGAGAGAAAAAAGAAACTGGGAGAGGGGCTGATGGAGGCAGAAGGAACCAGCATGGCCGAACTCCATTCAGTGATGTGGATCCCAGGCTGGCCCTGGCCGGTTTGTGTGCCGTTTGCGTGCCGTTTGCATGTTCTCCACGTGACAGGGTGTTTTTTTTCCTCCAAGTTCTCCGGCTTCCTCCCACAGTCCGTGAACGGTAGGTAGTCTGTCCCTATGTGTCGGCCCGTGTCACAGCCCGGCGTCATTTCCAGGCTGTACCCTGCCTTCGCCCAATGTCAGCTGGGAATCGGCTCCACCGCGACCCTGAAGAGGGTCAGCGGTTACAGATAACAAATGGACGGATGCTCTGCCTGGATGTTGTAGTAGATCAGGTGCTCAGCAGCTCAATCAAGGAAAAGTGCAAACAGGTGTGCCTCATTATGTCCTGTTAGCTGGGAGGGGCTGTTAGGACGTAGGTGAGAGGTGCTGTAAATTAAATTCTGTTATATTTTGGGTTTGCTCATTGATATGGAATGAGCACCACCTCATATGGGTTTTATATGAGGTTGCAACACACGCGCGTTAAAGTGATCATCGGGATTTTGAAATGAATTTAGCTTTTTATTTGATCAGAAAACATGGATATACAGAGATGAATAAAGATGTCCTCATGCGGATTCATACTGGCTGTCATAGGAACTAAATGCTGACTCAAATATTCGTTTACAGATGCTACACAACACGTTAATTGTTACACGTTGTATATGCACACATGACCACAAACTCTAGTTTACTATACGATCATATACTATGTATACTTTCATGTCCGTTTCCATATTCATGTTTATTCACGCTTCTATCAATCTGACCTCTAATATTTCTGTCCTCCGTTGTGTCTTATCTACGTCTCCTGCCATTGTCTTCCTCCTCTTTTATTGAGCTGAACTGTTCCGGCCAATTAGGTCGGTGCAATGCCCATAAGTCCCTCCCCCACTGTGTTGCTCCAGGCTAGCCCTGGCTATAAACCCAATTGTGCTATTTGCCGTGTGTGCGTGTGTGTGTGTTTAAGAGAGACTTCATTGTCTAAATAAATGCTAAATTCAGTATGGCAGAGGGGGGAAGGGAGATTCTATGTGTGTGTATGCAGGAATATGCAAGTGTGTTCCTAATGAGCTGCAGTTATGTACATCAGTTATTTCCACATCTGATTCTGTTTTTTATTTTTCTCACATCAAATACCTTTTTTTTTGATCGAATAGATGAATGTGTAGATTATATTTCCGGGCATAAACCTGTGTTTGTATTTGTGTGTCTTTTAGTGGAACAGATGTAGCAGCAGACTTCAGGGTCTCTCCAGTCAAGGAGAAACATTTAACAGGCAGTGTGGCGTAACACACACACACACACACACACACACGTACACACACGTACAGTAACGCACACATAATTGTGCTTTTGTGTGTGAGCATACAGACACAGATTTGGCACAATATACATAAACCCATAATAGAGTATAAGCGTCCACACACACACACAGACACACACGTATGTACAGAGGCATGGAGGCACATATTCACGCTCATAGATCATTCAGTAATCCCTCATGTTTAATATAGTCAGGGACTCCCAGCCTCTCGCCCTCCTCCCATTCATCCGTCAACCCCCACCCCCCACTTCCTCCCCTGCCCTCTCAGACATTCATTATATGGTCTTGAAATGATGAAACTGCGAGGAATATAGAGGTTCCTGGCCCGAAAGTAGAAATCCTGCTTCATTTCATTTCACCAGGCCTTTTGTCCGACGGATCACAGCGCAGGGAAAGCATGTCATACCATATTTATACCTTTTGGTGCTGTGGGAAAAAAATGGCTCAGATATCTGTGTGATATCTAATATTTACTCTAATTGATCATGTCTTTTTTATTTGTTTTTTAAATTTGTTTTCTAACCAGCAGCCTTTTTTCTAGGTGTCCTATTTCTCAGGAGCGTGGATATTTTGGGATGTCCTGTTGACCAAAAGAGGAGAGTCTTAAACAGACCTGTAGGGAAACTGGTGAAGCGACCCAGAAAAATATAGGAAGAAGACGGGGCAAAAAACAAATAGTTGAAACTAGGGATGTCACGAGAACTGATGCTTCGGTACCAAGTCGATGCCAAAATTCTGAAAAATGTTGAGGTACTGTACTGTACGTACTAAAGTCGTCCCCATAGAAAATGTGTTTAGGACGAACAGAGATCTTCCCCACGATGCCTTCGAGATGAACGCAATTTTTGTATGCATGTATAACTATCACTCTGCAAGAGACAGACTGAACCCGGCGCTGACGCATTACAATCCAAAACATGGCAGTTAACTTATTATCGACACGTCCAGGCGACTCGCACGATTCTTTCCCTTGTAATGCCATGAACACTACTACTCACAATACGAAAGCATAATTATTGTTAAAAGAAAAATTGAAATGAATGTAAAAAAGACTTTCAACATTTTCATTGGATTTTAAAAGTTGAATTGTAATTGCTGTCATACATTATGCACACACAAATGGAAAAGGTAAATATCCATTTTATTTAATGATTTTATTCCAATATTGTCAGCCACAGACTAATATAGGGGACCCAGTGAATGGTTGCCTTTTCTACTTGATGGATGACACAAACGACTCAGATTATCAGAAGTGATTTACTTTCAGTCAGCCAATAAGTAACCAAACAGCTGATGATTATTTCAATGTCGGGGTATAGGATAGAATAATAATTAGGTTTATTCCCTTAAACGATTAACTATTCCTTTAAAAGAAAAGGTGGGTGATATTCTGAATACCTGGGACAGTTCCAAATGTGTATTAATCCACTGCTGAAAATAGTCCCCACTATAAGCACTACTTCCTCCTGCTTGAGTAACGTTTGATAAGAAAAACTACTGTGAACTGCTGTTTTTAAGGAAATAAATGAGCCTTTTTTAGAAAGTAGAGAGAGACCGATTGAAACATGTTTTTTTTTTGACAAAAACAGAAATATAGAATAATGCCAGACTTATCCTTTTTATGCATAGCTCGTCTTTCTCCAGTTGGCCAAAGCACAACATGTCATGTAATCTCACGTGCAGGCTGCTCTTTCTGTCTCTCGTCTTTGTTCTCATGCTTACCTTTTATTATCCTATAAAATACCACCCTTCCAATTACTACCTCCCCCTTCCTTCTCCTCATCTGTCTCCTCATTCCCTCCCCCCTGTCTCAAGCCCCCCCCCCCCCTCCTTTAATTATTCCCCTCCGCATCACCCCGCCGCTCTCTTTGTTTGATCTGGCTCTGGGGTTACAGTATTTTTGTGGCATTCAGGCATTCAACAAAAAAAAAAAACCCTCGAGAAGTTAAAGCTCATTCCGTGTTGATGGCTAGAAGCATCAAATATTTAACAGATAATAAAGATAAAGGGTGGATCAAATGGATCAAATACAGATAGCGATAAATAAATAAATAAGTGAAGGGCACTTCCCACTCCTTGGTCCCGGCTCTGGGTTTTATTGTTCCTGGAGATATCTCATTTCTCTCCATCGTATTGTTGCACAAACGGGGAAAAGGCTTTCTTGGAAGCGTCTCCGTCTGGGGAGCCGTCAAGGCTTCGGACAGCCGAGAGGGAGGCCGAATCAACGGCATCAAAGTACATGGAAGTGCAGTGAGTGACAACGGTCCATTATTGATGAGGCCATTAGCTTCGCAAGTGCAGACCTTCCCCAGCTCATTCTAAAACTAAAGAAACCTGTGGAGTCGAGCTTTTTTTTCTTGGCTCAAACTCAACCACAACCACGATTACCTAGAACTACAGCCCGATAAATAGAAGGGGAAAAAACTGCGGTTTGGAACGCGACCAAATGTTTAGAGGCCATTACACCCGCGCGTGTCTCTCATCAGTGCATCTTGGATGCTGTTATACTGGTGGCGGTTTACTTGGCTGGAGATAAAGGGCCGTTCCTAGCTCCACTCTCTGTCCTGTACAACACCACAACTGGCTTTGCCAAAGTGCTTCCGTCCTCACTGACTACAGCCTCGTTTCTCTTGCATTACGTGAAGTACCCTAACGCACAAATTTGTCTACGAGACTATTTGGTGTTTATTGGCCCTAAAAAGCCAGTGTACCACCTGCACAAGATGCTGTTAGCTTTCAGCAGATGCAATTATTGTTGAAAGTCTGAAGATGCTGAATGGGAAGTTTGGTGGGAGTTACCCTTTTTGATTTCACTGGATAAAAACACAATGATTGAATTCATATTGGACTATAAGATGTTTGGAGTATTTAGTGTAGCCTGACTAATACATCGCCATATGTTATGGGCAGATTTAAGTTCATATTATTTATTTTCAAGCACAGAAATGCCACACTGTTTGAGGCAGTTGACCCCATTATTTCTTCTGACCAGAGAGCACTGACACATGTATTTTGCAACTGTAAAATGTCCCACCAAGTACATATTGCAGTTATAATTCCAAATTTTAAGAGTAATTTAATCCAGTTATTTGCTTTACTGAGAAGATTTAATAATTTGGTATTTTCGAGAGAAAAGGGGGATATGTCTATGACGAGGACTTGTAGTCCACACCTCAAACTACAAGGCAACCTCAGGTCCTCACGTTGGTCTTAGTTGTCTTGACTATAAGTCCCAGTGAAACAAACTGCAGAGCGTCAGATCAGTAAATGTTTGGTACTTTTACTTAAACAATGAACCGATTTAATATATTTCTCAGTAGTAAATGAGACAGAAGAGCCGGTTGACCAGAATCCAGCTCTGCCTCGGAAACACGAGTCCTTAAACCCGTCTTCTCCGTCTGTCTGCTCCGTCCTCAGGAGCTCGCCGACCTTCGCCATGTTCAAGCTAAGCTGAAGAAGCAGTTCCAGGAGAAGACGGTGGAGCTCGCCCACGCCAACCGGCGGGTGGAAAGCCACGAGGCCGAGGTCAAGAAGCTGCGACTGAGGGTGGAGGAGCTCAAGAAGGAGTTGGGACAAGCAGAGGACGAGGTAGGACCACGCCTGTGCATGTATTCGTAGTTTCAAAAGAGACCGTCATTGCCCTTGACTATTCCACCAATCCAAATCTCTACCAATCATTCCAACAAACCAACCAACAGCTGCACAACTAAAGACAAAAAACAGGTCTCTTGTGATTCTGACAGGAAGTAAACAGGAAGTAGCCCCTTTGGATCAGCTAGCTTTGCTAACTGTATCAGGATGGGGTACCCGCTGGCAGATCAAGCTAAGCCAGTTAGCAAACTACGTATTAATCTTTAGTAATAACAAACATGTATTCCTTATAGTTTCATATGTAGCGTGAGGCTACTTCCTCAGAGATTACAGACATGGTATAAATATCAGGTGTGTGTTACCCTTCCGACGACCCAAAAGCCGTCAACCTCAATTAATAATTTGGTGAGACTTATGAGATTGCCTATTACAAATAAGCATGTTACTGTGTATCCAGTTGGATGAGTCCCATAACCAGACCAGGAAGCTGCAGAGGTCTCTGGATGAGCAGGTGGAGCAGACTGAGAACCTGCAGGTACAGTTGGAACACTTACAGTCAAGGTAAGATAAACACACACACACACACACACACACACACGCGCACGTCTACACACATACACACACACAGTGAATGCAGAGAACAGATTTCAGGTGAATGTGCCAAGTATCTCTTCACGTGAGGCTTTGACGATCAATTTGTGCATAACATGTTGCTTCTTTGAAGCAGAGTAACACTCGGTATCACATTTGTTGTCACTTCCTGTATCACATCCCTACTTGAGGCTGTCCATTGGCACGACTCGGTTGTAACGGAGGCTAAGGTAAACACGGTACAAACATGCCTGGCTCAGCCGGTTGAGTGATTTTCAAATGAGTAAAAAAAAAACAATATCAATCATCGCTCCCACTTCTAATGGAAGCCGTATCGCTCCTAGTGAGTCCCAGAGACTTCAGTTCACATTAAAACTGTAGGTGTTATCTGCCAAGTGGAATATTAGCTGTACGTTTAGCAGGTCTGATCCATGTGCATGTAAGGTAACGTGTTGTGCATTTAATATTGCAGGCAATATTACAGTTGGTATTACATCATGGACACATGCTGGGCTGGTTTCAACACGGTCTGTTTTAAATAGAAAAACCAGACAAGGAGGTGTGCAGCAAGTGGAATTCTGAGACAATTAGGCCCCATTTACACCTGGTGTTAACATGTGATGTGTATCTGGATAATGGCATCCGACCCACGGGTCTTTATTTACACCTGGTATTAAAGTGCATACTTGTTGTCTCGAGTAGTTAGCAATTAGATCAGCAGGACTGTCAACAAGGTAAGACTGGCTAGATAACGTTTCTGGCTTACTTGAGTTAGGTTAAGCCTTTCAACTTCTGTATTTTTGGTATTTTTCCTTTTAATACCGTAAAAAAGCAGATATATTCTTCACTCTAGGTTTCTAGCGCCACAAAATATTCTACACTAGTATGTTGTTATCGAAATCCACAAAGACATTGGAATATCTTAGAGAAGGCTTATGCCTAAATGGAATTTTTGTTCTGTCAGCATGAGTGGTGCCGTGTTTAGCAGCAGCACTCGCACTCCCAAACTCGCCCAGACAACCATGAAGGCACTTACTCAAAACACACCTTGTGTGTGTGTGTGTGTGTGTGTGTGTGTGTGTGTGTGTGTGTGT